GGGGGGATATGAGGGCGCGATGCCGGCGTGCAGCAGTCATGTGGCGCATGCGTTGAGGCGCACTGCTCGATGGACCATTCGTAAAATGCCACACGGCACTTGTGTTTTGAATCCGTGCTCCTGCCATGTGCGGGCAACCCCTGGAGCTGGCGCTGCTCCATGCACCACCCCCTCACCTCCCAACATCCACCCCCCACACTTCCCGGCCCCGCAGCATCCCCCAGGTGCTGCTGGACGCGTTTGGCCGGCCCCAGGGCGACGGCATTTTGATGCAGCTCTACATCAGCGCCGCCAACACCCTGTTCCTCTTTGTGGCCATATCCACTGCCTACGGCATGGTGCGTGCGTGCATGCGCGAGCCCTGGGAAGCAGTGAAGGGGGTCGTGTGTGGGTTTGGAGGTACTGGCGGTGGCTCCAGCTCTGAGGTGGTGTGCAGCGATCGCATCTCCTGCCTACCCCCAAGCAGCGTCCTGCACGCCAATGTGGCGCCCGGCTGCCATAGCACGCCAACTGCTGCCATTACATCGCCTTCACCTGCCGCCTTGCGTGGCCCCGCAGGGCTCGTGCGCCGTGGGTCAGACGCCGCGGCTGCCGTTGGTGGCGGATGCGGCCGACACTCAGATGCGCGACGGCGGCTCGGGCTGGTGACCCACAGGCAGGTGGCAGTCACCAGTCCGCACCGCATCATCTGTGGCTGGAAACCCTCATGTTTTAGTAAGACTAGTATTGTCAAACACAGTTGTGGAAACACACATTGTCAGGGAGGGAGAGGAGCGATGTTTTCATGTTGTCATTTGAAGTGAGTGGCATGTGTTTCGTTATGCCGACTGTTTTGGTGCGGAGCCCCTGCTGCGGGTCACAGAGCTGCTGCTGTCAGAGAGGCCTTCAAACCCCGCAGATTGCGGCAGGGTTTGGCTGGCGATTGCTTGCCACCTGCGTTGCGTATTTGGCCTGAGTTGTTTGTTTGCAATGCCTGCAGGGCGCTAGCTAGCGCCTGTGCAGCCTGTACAATTTGTCGCTGCGAATTGCAGCTCGTTAGCTGGAGGTTTGCCTGGTAATCTTGGCTCCCATGCTCACTCTCTTTGTTGTGGCTAGAGGGCAAGGGGTTGCTCCTGCCTGCTGTCGGGATGTGTGAGCGCTCAGGCGAACATGAGATGTATGGGCCGGGAAGCGACTAACCTGACTGTACCAGCTCAGCTGCAACGGTTGGAAACGCTACCGCCCCGATGCGCCGCACAGTGATGCCTCTGTGAAATTTGGTGAGTGCGCCCGTTGGTGTGTCCCCAGTTCCCCCCCTTGCAACTGCCAAGAATAGTGCCTACCACCAAGCGTGCTTTTGCAACGTGCACGAAGAGCTGGGACCCGAAGAACACTGGCACGCCTCGCCACGCTTCTGCACATGCCGGTGCTTTGCGGTGAACGAAGCACCGGCGCCGCGACTCCCTGCGCGCGCGTCTCAGAAGTCGACGTGCACGCGAGCCCCGATGAGCGCGTCCACCGGCATGCGCACCACCTGCTCCCGCTGCCGCTTGCTGAGCCCCCGCCCTTTGCCGGGCGCGTTGGCGCGCACGTCAGCCAGGCGCCACTCTGTCGCGCCGGACGCCTCGTCGTACGCCACCAGCTCCAGCACCGCCGCGGTCGGCGACGGCGCAGCGCTCGCCGGCTCCTGCTGCCCCTGCTGCCCCTGCTGCTGCTGCCCGCCATCGCCGCCGCCGCCGCCGCCGCCGCTGCCCTTCTTGCCGCCCTTCTTGGCCCCGCCCTCCACGGCCGCGCGCGCCGCGTCGTACTCCACTCGCAGCGGCAGGCCCCCGAACCTGGCGAGGTCCCCAGGCAGCAGCAGCTCCCGCTCCGCGCCCGGCGAGGACACCTCCAGCACTATCTCCCCCGCCTCCTCGGCCCCCAGCAGCTCCTCCAGGCGTGCCGCCAGGCGGCGGCTGAAGGTCTCGATGTCGGCCAGCTCAGGGGAGCCGTATTTGTCCGTGAGCTTGTCGAGCCGCACGTCCAGGCGCCGCGGGGACGCGAAGCAGCGCAGCGCGAACAGCCGCACGTCAGCGAGGGAGGGGGTGCCCTCCAGCACGTCGCGCGCGGCGGCCACCGCGGCGGCGCCCCAGGGCGTGCCGCCGGTCGTCACCGCGCCGGGGCGGACCGGCTCATCATGGTCGGCCCCCAGCCCGCCGCCGCCGCCGCCGCCGCTGCCGATGCCGAGCTCGTCGTCGTCGCCCCACGCCTCAAAGTCGTCGTCGTCCAGCCAGCCGCCGCCGTCCTCGCCGTCGTCCTGCTCATCACCCTCGTCAAATCCGAAACCCTCGCCCGACAGCTCGTCGTCGTCGTCGTCGTCGTCGCCGTCAAGGTAAATCACGCCCTCTTCATCCTCGTCCTCCTCCTCAATAAGCTCCGGCGCCGCTTTCCGCCGTGACTGCTGCTGCTGCTGCTGCTGGGGTGCGCTTTGCTGCTTGGCCTGGCCTTTCTGCTCCTGCCTGCTGCGTTTGGCATTAGCGCCCTTGCCAGCTGCGCAATGTACGCCGCGATAGCCATGCTGCGCGGTTGTCGGCGGCCGCCGACGACAGTCCAGCACAGTCGGGCGCAATGATGCCCGGTGTTCTGCATGCAATGAGGGATATTCACGGTGTTCGTTACTACTCTCTTACAACCATACGTGCAAGAAGCACCAAGTTCGCTACACCCGACCAGCGCCGCACCTGGCCCGGCTAGCATCCGTTGTCGATGTAGTCTCATGTGAAGGTAGATCATTTTCTAGGCGGCCTGCGATCCCTTCGAGGTCCTGGCAGTGATCTGGGGCAGAAAGTGCTGGCTTGACGACTGGCCAGCCGCAGCCTGAATGGCAGATCTACTGGGTAACGACGACTACGATTTATATGGTGGCGCATAAGAAGAGCAACGTTGCTGCCACTGGCCTGTATCAGTGCTCTATCAGTGCGAGGGTGTGTCAACCCGTGACGTCAAGGACACCAGCGCGGGTGCCCCACCACGCCACCAGCCACGCTGTGCGTGCACCGTTACCTGTTCCACTCACACATTTTCGCCCACTGGCACACCCGCATTTCACTTCACTTGGCCATTCACCCGTTGTGTTACTTGGGCATGCAGTGTCACAAAAACGGAGCGGATAGCGTTCAGGCGCTTTCTGAGAGCGTGTGGGGTTACGCGTTTGCGCATCGCAGCGGAGGAGCGAACAGGGCTAAGCTATCCTTTTTTTTGGGCGCCTTTTGTGTTGCAGGGGGTGGGTCCCGAGGCCGGGCGGCCCCCTGTGATGAGGGGAGTGAGCAGCAATGTCGCAAGGGACAGCTCAGGCGCGCATTGATGCGCCGCCCGCAAACAAAAAACAGGTACAACCAACAAAAATCGACCAACAGACAGTGAGCATGGAGAAAACATAAGAGAGCCAAGGGTGGTGCTGGTGCTGGCGAGGTGGCAACGCCCGCCGCCGCGCTGGCCCTCCGCGTTCGCACTCGGCAGTGGGGTGACGCGCGTACGCCCTGCCGGTGTCAGTCGGGGCACGCTCTAGCGGACAGCTCGGCTGCTGAGGGCCCGCGGCGCTGAATGGGAGCGCCGTGCGCGAGGAGGTGCCGGCGGGGGGGG